GTGGAGGGGGAGTTAGGGGTGAGCAAGGAAACGGGCCTGGGGGAGCCTGAGGAGGGAGATGTGGGTGGGCAGAAGGTTATGGCGTGTGGGGGTACCCCATGGTGCGAGGGGGGCTGGAGCAGAAGGTGGAGATGGGCAGGAGGAACGGGCCTTGGGGGGGCTGTGGAGGGGCTGCCACACAGACCCCGGGCATCACCCAACCCCTTCTGCCGTATCCCCTTGTCCAGCCATGGCGGGGCCCCGTTCCACTGCCCCCATGGCGGCCGAGGCCGAGCTGCTGCTGATGCAGAAACAAGCGCTGGCTGAGGAGGAGGCGGCCAAAACCAAGCGGGAGCTGCTCACTCGCTTCCTGCAGGTCTGGGACCCCACTGCAGCCTCCCCTGATCGCCTCCAAACTCCCCAAACCACCTTTCCCCAGCAAATGCCACCACCATCCCCACCAGGGCTGGTGCTGCCCCTGTTCTGCTGCACCCCCTGGCACCAGTGGCAGCCCCAGCTCCACTCCTGCCCCTTTCCCACCTCCCGCGGCCCCTCCACAGGAGAAGTTGTCCCGTGAGGAGCAGAGCAGCATGTGGGGTCTCCACAAGGTCCGCACGCTCTGGCGCTTGGCCCAGCGCAAGACCAAGGACCAAGAGCTGCGCCAGGACATCGAGATCCTCAGTCAGACCTTCACACGGGTCATGGACTGCAAGGATGGCGTCATTGAGGTGGCTGCAGGGCTGGCAGGGTGGGAGGGTGCCAGGGAACACCCATGACCCCCCAAAACCTCCCCAGACGCTGGTCAGGGACCTGGAGGAGGCAGAGGAGCAGCAGAACCGAGCGCTGAGCAGCCACCTGCACCTCATGGACCAACTGCTGCACCTCCAGCGCTGCCGCCTGGGCTACCTGGAAGAAGGGTTTAATGCCCAGGTGGGCGCCCTGGAGGCCGAGTTTGAGGCTGAGAGGTGTGGAATTTCAGGGGGAGAAGGGCAATGGGGCAGCAGTGGCACCCATGGGCTCTCCTGGGATGGGTTTGAGCCTCCCCTGGCCCCACAGGGATCCCTGCAGCCTCTCTGACAGGGAGGAAAGCCCTTTGCCCTGCCATGTGTCCCCGCAGAAGGGCCATTCTGAAGCAACAAGAGTGGGAAAGCTGCTGCCTGCAGGACATGGCGCTGGCCACGGAGCAGGATCACGCCAGGAATGACCACGAGGCCCTGCTGAACTTCCAGAGCGCCCGGGACGACATCAAAAACAAGGCAGGGGGCACAAGGGAGCATCGAGGGGCTTTTAGGGCTGGCAAGGGAGGTTTGGGGTGTAACCCGTGTGTCCCCAGTGCTGGCAGGACCAGCAGTACAGCCGGCTGCAGCTCGTGGCCAGGCTGGAGGGGCTGTGGGACCAGATCCAGAGCGCCCGGCGGAGCTACGCCCAGAGCACGGAGAGGAAGAAGGTGGAGTTCGATGAGCTGAAAAGGAAATGTGAGAAGAGTTCCCGGGAGATTGATGTACAGGCCGAGAAGCTGCAGAAGCTCCAGGTTTCAGCAGGGTGCTGGGTGGTTGTGGGAGTGGGGTCACTCGCATCCCCCACTGTTTTTCCATATAATCATGGAATTATTGAGGTTGGAAAAGTCTTTAACACCATCAAGTCCAACCGTTCTCTCAGCACTGCCAAGGCCACCACTAAACCACGTCCCCAGGGGCTCCATCCATGTGGTTTTTGAGCACTTCCAGGGACGGTGCCTCCACCACTGCCCCGAGCAGCCCATTTCAATGCTGGGCCACCCTTTCCAAGAAGGAATTTTCTCCAATACCCAACCTGCTGTTTCACCAGGACTTGGTTACAGCCACGAAGGAGCAGATGGCGGCTCACCTGCAGGAGAGCGAGAAGCAGTGCCAGCACATCCAGGAGGATAAGGATCACGCCCTCCAGAAGCTCCAGAAGCTCCGGGCTCAGATCAGCCAGGCCGGGGCCACAGCTCACACCCACCTGGTGACGCTCACCTGCCAGTGCAGTGCCACCCTCAAGGTGCTGCAGCAGGTGGTGGAGAAGGTGAGTTGGGCAGTGCTGAGTGGGGATGTGGGGGCCCAGTGTCCTGCTGTCCCTTCCCACCTGCCCTTCCTGGCGTGTCCCCCCAGGCCCAACGCATCCTGCGCCTGGCTGAGATGTGCCGCAGGCTGGAGACAGAGGAGGAGAAGGTGCTGCCCTTCTACCCTTCCTCACTGTCTGAGTCGGAGCAGCAAAAGGCCCTCAGGGTCCTGGAGGAGACCCCCACTGAGCCTCTGGCACGGGTGAGGAGGCACCACCGCAGTCCACAGGGAACGAGGGCTGTGATTCGGCCCTGGGGATCACCCAGCTGGTGCTGGGCAGGCTGGAGACCCCAAACTCTCTCCCCAGGCCATGAAGGACTACATGGGGCTGGAGCGGTTCTGGCAGAGGTTCAACAAGGCGAAGCTGGAGGAGAAGGCGCTGGAGCAGGCGCGGGCAGCCCTGGCAAACAGGAACCAGCACCTGCGTAAGCTGCTGCAGCAGTACCTGTCAGGGGCTGCAGTCAGCCAGAAGGTGCCCAGAAACCCCCACCCCATCCTCACCATCAAGCAAAAGCCACATCCCAAGAAATGAGCCCCACATGGTGGGGAAGCCTCACTCAGGGATACCGGGCACGGAGCACCCCAAGAGCCTCTGGGGAGGGGTCAACCACCGGGACCCCATTCCTGGCTCCACCAGCTCCAGCTGAAACTCCCTGGCAGACCAGGGACCTGCCTGGTGTTCGGGGACTCCAGGGACTGTCACTGCCTGGATAAGCCTTAATAAAGCAAAACTGCCTGAAAATGTGCTCCAGGATCTTATTTCTGGGATTCATTGAGTCTGTCACCTCCCGCTCAGGTCTGACACGACCCATCGAGGCCCTGGAGCAGGCAGGGACCTGATGGGTGCACAGCCCCTTCCCACTGCTCTGTGCCCATCTCTGTCTCAGGAAGAGCAGCCACGGAGCAGCCACAGATGCCAAGAGGAAGGTTTTATTTCTTTTTGGCTTTGTTTCTCTTCTCCTCCTTCTGCTTTTTCTTGGAGAGCTTGGGGCTGCTGGCCTTGCGGTACAGGTGGAAGCCAATGAGCCCCAGCAGTGCCGGCACCAGCCCCAGGCACAGCAGTGGCACCACCTCGTTCACCATCTTCTGCCAGTAACTGGCCCGGGACAGCCCCACCAGCTCCACCTCGAACCGCAGCACAGCGTCACCTGCGAGGGGGGCACAGCCTGAGCGGGGACCCCTCAGAGACCCCACGGGCACCCTGGGGGCTGCGCTCACCTGGGATGGTGGGCGGGGAGCCCCGCTTGCCGTAGGCTAAGTGAGGGGGGATGATGGCTCTGCGCTTCTCCCTGCCACAGTGAGAGCATTGGTGCCACAAATCGTGGTGGGGACACTGCGGGGGGACACTGCCCACCCCCGTGTCCCCCTCCGCACTTACCCCACACACATGTCCAGCAGACTCTGCTCCAAACCTGTAACAGAGTGGGGCAAGGGTGAATGGGGCTGGTCGGGATTACCCTGGTTATCCCCAGACCCCCGAGCCCCTCACTCACCGGGAATGACTTGGTGCTTGCCCAGCTCCACCTGGAGGGGATCCCGGCTCAGTGAGGAGTCGATGATCCGGCCATCCTCCAGGCTGCCCTGTGGGGGCATGGCCAGGTCACGCCTGGGGACACAGCCCTGGCACTTTGTGTGGCTGCCAGCGTGCTCCCAGTGCTGCTCTGGAGCTGATCCCAGTCCCTGTGGCCCCTCTGTGCCATCCCTGGGCTGATCCCAGTCCCGCTACACTCCGTGTCACTCTGGGACACCCTCACCGCTCCCAGCGCCCTCCCAAGGTAATCCTCGGGCTGATCCCAGTGCCAGCCATGCCACGGCTGTCCCACGGCAGCCCCAGTGTCACCCCTGTGCCACCCAGAGCCCACCCTGGGGCTGCCCCTGTGCCGGTCTCGGTGGCGCTACGGCACCACCCCCTCGTCCAGCCCAGGGCCGTCCTCATGCCCAGCCCGGTACCACCCCTGCGCTCCCTCCGGTTCCACCGCGGCACCATCCCGGTACTTCCCACCCCGGTACCGCCCCACTGCCCACCCTGGTACCACCCCCGGTACCGCCCCGGTGCCGGCTGAGGGCCCCCG